ACATTAGGAGTAGAGAGCTGAATTAGATTTCAGAGGGAAAAGGAAACAAGGGATAAAGTTCTATTCCTGTTTAAAAGGCCGGGGAGGAGTGTGAACCGAGCGAAAGTCGAATCTTTCTACTCCTATTGATGTTTGCATAATTTAATAACATATTATTTCTTTCAGATTGAACAAAAGATATCTATACATATGTATTTTTAAAAATACTTATAATTTTTACAGTGTGATTTTGAAATTCACCCCGTTGATTTTTGTAAGAAGAGTTTATTATTATTATTATTATTATTATTATTATTATTATTATTAAATAAAGACACATCTGAAGAATCGAAAAATGTGAAGTTTAGTGCCATTCTTGAGTGTAAATCTTTTTTAAAAGTTTTTTTTTTTCATTTTAGCAAGTTTTAGATTTTTTTTTTTTTTGTATGGATGATAAAAAAGGAAACAATTCTGAATTACGACCTTTGGTTAGTCTTCCCCATCGGAAGAGTGATATAAATATATGATAATTCAATAACTCTTAATTTCAGAGTAATTACAAAGAAAATCTCATTGGTAATGGTAATGATAATATTAGTCATTTCTTTATAAGGAAACATTCGGCATTCATTGACCGAACTGCCAATGCTACGTGAGTTGCACTTTTCTTCACTCCGTGGACATTGGGCCGAGATCAAAGTGTAGTATCTGTTCTCTTCATCTTTACTGGTAATAATAATATTAGCCGTAAGGAAATATTCGGCATTCATTGATCGAGCAGCCAGTACTACTTTCGATTGAAATTTATAAAATCTTTCTCTTAAATTTTTTTTTCAGTTTCTCAGGTCCAGTAACTGTTATTGCTCTTTCCACTATTGATGCGGGTTTTCCTTCCTAACCTTTTATTTGATGTCGTGTGGAATATCAACATCTTGATATCATTTTCTCTTCAAGTTATATGTGCTATTCGTTTTAGTTGCTGCTGCTGTTGAAAGTAATCAAGTGGTTGCTTATTTTATCTGGTACAGTTCTTTGTATGTGATTCTGTAGCGCCAGTCTACAATGTTCAAAGAAGAATTGTCTTTACGAACATCGTCAGGCTTCACTTGCTCAATTCGTCCTGGGTATGACGATAAAGTACATCCGGCAGCAAGGCCACTGATCGGGAAGTTTTGAGGAGTGTGGAACCACCTCTTAACTGCTGTGGCTCCCAGGTCCTCCCTGACCTGGAGTGATAGCTGATGCTAGGGTCCCAGTTATGGGCAAATAGTTAACTCCCAAACAGGGGTCAACATTTTTTTGTAAAAGAAATTACTAATGCTCGCAAGAAAATTAAATTTCGGTATTAAATGACCCATGGGGAGTTGATATGCCGCTAAACAAACAAAACATTCACTCGCTCAAAGCCATTTTAAATCATTGATCTTAGTGGTTGTATACATCTGACAGTTTAGATATTTCTGAATGGGTTTGTCATGCATGACATCCATCTGAAAGTCTTAATCTGACAAGGCTATTTAAGAACATGACTCGAGTTTTTCAATTTCATGCTTTGTAGCAACTTGCGGTATTGGGTGAAACTCTCTAACGCAGCCTATTTTATGTTCAATTTCCTTTTTTTTTTTCTTTTTTTTTGTGAGCGTCACCCTTTACAAGGCCCAGGGGCCACTCGAGGTAGAGGGTTACGTCAGGAGGCCTTTTGTGTGTATAGGTGAGTGAGATAACGATTAATCCTATCTTTGAATAGGTTTAAATTAATCGGGGCAGTGGTTCACGGGAAGAAGCTGCTCGAAGAAGCTGCTGATGGAATATGGAGGGAATGTGGTTGTTTTGCTACTATGTAAGTGGCATGGCGTGTTCTTGCCGTGAAGGTTTCTCTTGGCGGGACCAGGGAATATAGTTTGTCCGAGCACTTTCCATGAAAGTAGCGGTAGAGCAGTGAAATGCTTGCCACATCCCACCTGTGGGAGAAGGGTTTAAGGGTGAAGAATAATTCGTTACCCACAAGGGCTCGGAGACGCTTTTAAACTCTATCAAGGCTGGAGAGCAAGTTCTTGGCAGCTCCATCCTAAATATGACAACAGTACTCCATTTTTGACCTGCTATCTCCTATACTAAGTTGTATTTTTTTTTTTTTTTTATGAGCGATCTATACACCGAGGTATCTGAAGTGTTTCGTATTTACTTGTTCCACATTCTGAATTTTTATGATGGATCCAGGGGACGTGTAATCAGTAGTTGATCACTCCAATCCCTGTTCATATGTTTTGTTTGTGAAATGTTTATCTTGTCCTGCGTCTAGAAACACTTGGTAGAAAAGGTATTTGATGGCATATATAAGTGTTTCTTTATTTACATTTAATATTACTGATGTTAGGATAGGTACTGGTCATCTATTACATCCGGGGAAACGTTAGGCTAAAAATACCTCAAATTTGCATGTTAGACCCAGGACGTATTTTTTTATACAGTTGTTGTAGGAAAAAAAAAATGTTACAAATTTACTTTTTGGCTGTAAAAAATATTTAAATTTTCGCATCTCACTCTAAATAATTCAACATGATAATATATATATATATATATATATATATATATATATATATATATATATATATATATATATATAAAGAAAGAGGTTGTAGTGGTTCCAACGAGAGAAAAGTATGTATATTAAAAAAGAGAGGTGCTTCAAACGTTTTTGGTTGTAATGTGGATTTATTTAGAAAAAATATTATGCTTTATTTTCCATAATTTTACTACACGTGTTTCTGGTCTCGTGACTGACTTCAGGTAAAAGGCGGAGTTTTCCACATATTATTAAAAATAATTAATTTTTTTCTTATGTTTTTCAATGTTAAATATTCTCGATATGAGACATTCTCTGTTTTTGTGTTAGTAATCCGAATGTCTTTTTTGAATCGGCAGTGAAGAGTTCTGCGCGAAGGGTCATAAAACAATTAAGGTTGGTCCAAGAGAAATGATGAATTACTTATCGGCATTTTATCTTTTAATGTTTTACTGACGCCTATGTGTTCTTGGATCTGTTTCCATTTTCGTGTGTTTCTGTCAGCATGCGTGTATATATGCGTGCGTATATTCCCCCTCCATACATATACTGTCTTACTACGAGGAATTAGTAAACTCATTTGTACATATACACGCATACACACACACACACACATATATATATATATATATATATATTGATAATTTAAATTGTTTTTCTGTAAAAATGAAATTTATTTTAATAGAACAGTTCATCTCTTCCGCATTTAGATTGTGTACTGATGCGCAAATACCTTTAGAGGGAAAAGTATGAATCCATTTCTTCCCCACAAGCTATGGATAAAATAGTTGGTGTTGAGCGAAACTACCCCTAGCGCAGATTATTCTATGTTCAATTTCCTCTTCTCCTATACTAAATTTATTATGATTGATTCATACGTCAAAGGTTTTTGAAGCGTTTTGTATTTACTAATTCCACATCCTGAATTTCTATGATGGATCCAGGGTAGGTGCCATCACTGATTTCATTCCAATTCCAGATCATTGTTTCTGATTTGGAAAGGTTTCCCTTGGGTCCTATTTCTTGAATGTTGTTTTCTCTTATTTCAATATCATTCTTATACCAACTATGAATATTGAATACCTATGTCATCGACATAGCCCAGCACCCCACCCAACCCCTACCGCCTCGTTATCATTGACCTCGGGAGTGAAAGCAGGATCATTGTCTTAGTAGATTTATTTGGGATGTGCTATGGAATGCTTACATGGCCAGTGCCCATCTCTTCACATCTCTGATTGTAGGTATTTATCCGAGTGTCTACGTTGCAAACAGAATGTGACGCGAGCCCGGTGTAGAAAAATTGCTCAAGTCCCCTCGGCACTTCCCCTTTTGGGCATGTCTCAGTTGCCGGGTAATGACCACAGCTCCATCCTAAAGGAGAGGTACTGCCTGGTGGGGAGGCTCCTTGGGGCTTGAGCTATTATTTTAAATGCATCCGGCATGGTCCAGGAAAAGATTAAATAAACTGGGGTCTCTCATTTCCTATCGAACAGGTAAGAAAATAATTAGAAAAATAGAAGCAATGAATAAAACCCCAAAGTATCATTTCAGTATTTTTAATTAATTTATTTTTTTATACTTCTAATGTAATATGAAAATAAAATTATTAATTCTACTAAGTTTAATAAAAGTGTATAGAATAAAAAATATATTCTTATGGTTAAAGATAATTTATTTTTAAACATAATTACTGATTTGTTTTTTATTATTATTATTATTATTATTATTATTATTATTATTATTTCACAGATGACGTTTGTTTAATTTCTTTAATTTATATTTATTGTTTTTTTTTAAGTCGGGGTGAAATTAATGAGTTTCTGTTTTTAACCTATGACACCACAGGCTACGGTGCGTAAATAAACGTTATTTTCATTATGTTTAAATTTAAAAAAAATAAGCATTACTTAAATTTACTAATTGACTTCGAAACAGGACAAATATTGGATTTTTAAGAGTTTTTTTTTTTTTTTAATTTGTTGTTTTTTTTTTTTTTTTTTTTGTCTGTAATGGTGGTTCGATGACTCAGTGAGTGAACGTTCCAATGTTTTAAAAATGCTTACAAACTTTATTTACATATGGAAATTCATTTCTCTTTTAATACGGATTAGCTTTAGACGATTATCTTTCAAATAAAACCAAAATTTAAGTTCAAAGAAAGCATTTAAATTATTTTTAAAAAATGCATTTTCTGTTTCTTGTTTTGTTTTGTTTTTTGTTTGTTTGTTTGCTTGTATTTTTTAAGGGAATCTACGGCAGTAGCTAATGAGTTCTGGGCAGAGCGACTTGGACGTGGTAAAAATCCATGGAGGTTGGAATAGGAAAACTAGGAAACATCGAAAGAAATTAAAAACAAAAAATAGTGTCCGGATAATTGAGTGAGTGAAAAGAGAACGATAAAAATGGAAATACGAAAAAAGGGATTCAAAGAAATTGTTGATAATGTAATAACGGGCGTTTGTGAATGATCCAGGGATGGAAAGGTGAAGGGAAGAGAGAAAAAAATATATAAAAAGAGATAAATAAGCGGAAAGTGAGAGTAGGTAAAGAAATAAAGACCATAAGAGAGAAGACAGGAAAAGAAAGAAAGAAAGGTTTTAGTGGCTAGAAAAGGCAAAAAAGAAAGAAAAAAAAGAAAGGTTTTAGTGGCTAGAAAAGGCGAGAAAGAAATAAAGAAAAGAAAGTTTTAGTAACTAAAAATAGGAGAAAGAAAGTACTTAGAAAAAACGAAAGAACGATTTAGTAAGTATAAACAGGAGAAATAAAGAAAAACTTTTAGCAACTAGAAAATAGAAGACAGAAAGAAAGATTTAGGAACCAAGAAATATGAGAAAGAAACAAATAATCAATGTTTTAACCAAAAAATAGGGAAAAGAAAGAAAAGAGCGTTTTAGAAATGAAGAAATTAAGAAATAGGAAAAAGGGTAAAGAATGTATTGTCAACAATGAAGGAAAAAGGTGTCGTCTGATCTGATCAAAGCAGAAATTTGTACATGGAAAGCTGTAGAACTGAGTAAATCGAGTTACATGATGACAACTGAACCAAGTGAACGTGGGGTTGGTGAGCGAGGTTCGGGTGGAGTGCTTTTGAATCGGGGTGGGGTTTGAGCGTCGGCCACCCAAGAGAATTTCGAACTGGGAGAGGCTGCAACTCCTATTTCAATCCGTACATTCTTAGTATTCACGAGATAATATATAAATAAAGTGGCAAATGGCCGTGTGTAGCCTGTCACCACCAGAGACCCTATTCCCCTACCAAGTTGGACTCCGTGTTCTCAACAAAAACCAGACTGGTAGGGGGGGGATAAAGGAAAAGAGTTTGGGATACTAAAAAGAAGGAAGGAAGAAAGGCAGATATTTTTTTTTTTTAGAAAAAGAAAGAAAGAATATACTGATCAATAATATGAGTTTATATACAAACTGGGTTCAGATCTCTTGTTATATGAGATGACAAAGTAAAAGGGCCCGCGGACGGAAAAGTGAGAATGTTACAATAGGGGAAATGAACTGTGAGAGGGCGGTAAGAGAAGATCAAAGAAATGCAGTGCTTACTTAGAGAGAAAAGAGATGAGAAGATATTAAAGGAAAAAGGAAAAAATCAAGAGAGAAAGTTGGGGCATGAAAACAGAGAGGGAGAGAGAGAGAGAGAAAGAGAGAGAGAAAGAGAGTGAGAAAGAGTTAAAGATTCAAAAAGAGAGAAATGAATAGAGAAGTCTGATAGGAAAATATCCGGGGAAAACGCCAAAGATAAAGAGAGAACGAGGAAAAGAAAGAGAAAAGGTGGGATAGTTATAAAGAGACAGAGAAGACAATAGAATGAAGAATAAAAATGTCACTGATAGAGAGAGAAAAAAAAGGAGGGATAAAAAGAGGAAGAGTTGAGAAAAAGACAAACAAAGGAAAAAGTGAAGAGTGATGGAAGAAAACGTCAAAGATAAAGAAAGAAAAAGAAGGATATAAAGATATATATATATATATAGATAGATAGATATAAAGGGTAAAAAAGAGTGACTGAGGAAAAATCAAAGATAAAGAGAGAAAGATGAAGGAAGAATGAGCGCGTTGTAAAAAGACAAAGAGAAGAGGAAAAAGAGTTGGGGGATAATAGAGAGATAAAGACAAAAAGAGAAAGAAAGTGAGAAAGCCCTTCGGAGGATGTCCAAGGAAAATATCAATGATAAAAAAAAAAAAAAAAGAATACGATAAAGAGAGGGAGTTAAAAACAGACAGAAGGAAAAAAAGACGTAAAAATGTCAAAGAGAAAGAAAGAAAAGAGGAATAAAAAGAGAAAAGGCTATTAAAAAACGAAGAGAGAAGGAAAGAGAAAAGTGTTTGGAACTTAGGAAAATGATAAAGAGAGGAGGGAAAAAAAGGACGAATGAAAAAAGTAGGAGTTATAAAAAGACAGGGAAGCGAGAAGAGTGATGGGAGGATGTTCTGAGAAAACATAAAAAAGAAATATAATAAAGAAAAAAGGAAAGAGAGTAGGAAAGAGAGTTTATGATGATGCTAGGACAATAAAAGTCAAAGAGAAAATGGGAGTGATGAAGAGGGAGTTATAAACAGACAGAGAAGGAAAAAAAGAAGGTGATAAAAGATAAAGAGAGAACGAGAGTGATAAATAGTTTTGTAGAGAGGGTAAAAAGGAGAAAATGGCCTTTAAAAAAGGACGCAATATAGAAGTAAAACAAAGGTGAATTTTTCTAACCAGTATTTAAAGGTAAATTTCTTAACAGAAAGAGAAAGGTTTGAAATAGAGATACAAGGGTTTTTCTCAATGTTTTCTCATCATTCTGTGTCCGCTGAACCTTCTTATAAAACGCGCACACAGACAAAAAATCTTACATTTTCTTGGACTTTGATTATAAACAATCATCAGTAGAAAAAAAAGACTATTAGCAAACACACTAGACGTTAAGAGTAATTTTAAACACCCTGATATCCCATCTCTCTCTCTCTCTCTCTCTCTCTCTCTCTCTCTCTCTCTCTCTCTCTCTCTCTCTTCCCATCCCACCCATTTTTACTCTGGGATGTACAAGTTCGGTTGTATATGTATATATTAAGAAAAAAAGTAGCAGAAAGGAAGGTACTTACGCAAGGGCAGCAAATTTGTATTTGTCTGAAGATAGATAGATAGATAGATATGAACAGTGATAGATAGATAGATAGATAGATAGATAGATAGATAGATCCCGGTATATATTTGTTTACCCATCATTATTTATAACCACACGCGCGCGCGCGTGCGCGGATACTGTAGTATTAGTTTCACTGAGAAATGTATTTCCTATAGATACCTATTGCTAATTACTATTTTCATTTATTGCCGTTGAGTTTGTAAATATTTCGGTTATTATTTTTCTCCCCTGAATTTATCTTACATATTTATAAGTCTACCATTCGTCAATGCCTTCAAAATTGTTGACACATATGGTCCGGTGCGCTCCTTCTGTATATCTCGAGGATTTTAATAAAATTCAAAGAATCAGCAATATTATTGATCCTGACCTAGCATCTCGGTTTCAGTAACTTTCTCACCGCCGCAATGTAGATCCCCTCTGCGTTTTCTTTAAATATTTTCATGGTAATTGTTCGGATGAACTCTTCGCGATGGTACGTAGACTTTAGGAATTTCAGCACAGTGCTAGATTGGTGGTAAGGTCTCATCATTTTACAGTTGAAATGTCGAGATGTAACCGTAAGTTCTATGCTAACAGTTTCTTTTCTTACATTCCTGGTATGTGGAACTCTCTTCCGGCTCCATACTTTCCAGGCAACTTTAATCTTCAAAAAATTAAATGCAATCTCAATTGTAATCTACTGTATTCTTGATTACTTTTCTATTGTTTTCGCTCCTTAATGTTTTTTTTTTCTTTTTAACACACAGTAACCCCTTGTGACTTAATGGCTCTACTACCTTGCATGATATGATATGCTCAAATACATACAGAAACGTACACGCGTACACACACACACACACACACACACACACACACGCATATATATATATATTATTTATTTTAGGATATTAAAACAAAAATATGTTAGAAATTGCTACACGATTGCAATCATGTTTCAACACTACAAATGTGTCTCCTGGCAATGAGATGAGACACATTTGTGGTGTTGAAACATAATTGTAATTGTGTAATGTTTTTGTTTTAATATCGTAAAATAAATAATATTTAGCTCTACTCTGTATTGAGCCCTCTTTAAAAATAAATGTTACATACAGTGGAATTATACGCTATTTGTTCTAATTTTACCTGGATATATATATATATATATATATATATATATATATATATATATATATATATATATCAGAGACTGAGATATTTCTTTCTTTTTCTTCATATTTCAGTCTCTGATGAAGCTTTAATGAAAGTGAAACATGTTAGATTGATAAACGTTTCCTTTTTGTTCTTTATCTTATCATTCTGTCAGATTCCGATTCATATTTGATGTGAATTTGATTCTAGCTGATTATATATATATATATATATATGACAAGACTCTTCGGTAAATCGAATCGAGTCCTCTCAATTACTGTGTGTTTATCTAAAAATAAATACGCTAAAATTCACATTCGTCCCTGCCGTGCTTAGTGGTAGAATCTCCGGGTGACGCCAATTCAGCCGGGTTTCGATCCTAACTAGAAGCCAGCGGACGTCTAGCCACACTGAAGAGCCGTGATACAGCGAAACAGTCTGACTGTAGATGAATATACATATATATAGAGAGAGAGAGATATATATAGATATATATATTTCTCCATATATATGACGTACTCTCTCTCTCTATATATATGACGTACTCTCTCTATCTCTCTATATATATATATATATATATATATATATATATATATATATATATCAAAGTATATAATTGGTATATATATATATGACGTACTTTCTTTATATATATGACAATATATATATATATATACGCCCCTGAAAAAATACATTTCGGTCGAGCACTTTAGAGAGAAAGCGCGAATTTGTAAACATTCTGCTACTGCTGATATTGCAAAGCTCTTCTATGAATCGAGTCATTGGCGTGTTTATTCAAATAAATACGTAAAAATTCACATTTCCTCTCTGCCGAGAGCCGATAGCTTAGGGGAAATATCTCCGACTGATGCATACAGTCTGTCTTTGGATGACAATATATATATATATATATATATATAACGTGACGACACTGACATAATCTTTACTGTGAGACAACTCCAAGAGAAAAGACATCAAGCAGCTTGTTATAATACTACACCAGGTCTTCGTCGATCTAACTAAAACTTTCAATGCTGTCAAGCGTGGAACGCTTTGGAAAGTCTTGAGAAAATTAGCTGGTCCACCGAATTTTTCCTGACTGATCACAGAACTACATCCTGGTATCAAGACTCACTTTGCCTTCAGTCGGAAGTATTTCTCCGATGACATTTCGATCGAAAATGCTGTTAAATAATAGAACATCCTAACACTTTCTCTCTTTTCCCATCTACATCTCTGTTCTATAATCCTTTCAGTGGCTTTCATGCTGGTGTACGTCTAAGCTTTTGAACATCAGGATAGATGTTTAACTTGTGGGCGTTCAATGCCAGATTCAATCAGCTGACGGCCTTGTGCTTGTTTCGTTATGCATATGATATAGATACTGTATCAAACACAAAGTTTGATCTTCAACTTACAATGGATTGGTTTTCGGCAACATGCTATATCTTCGGTGTTACTTTTAGCATAACAAAGACGGAGGTGATATATACGCAGGGCCGGTGCTTACTACCAAGCTTGATTGATGACCCCGGGAAGTGCTTTGTGACCCTCGTTATCTTATCAACATTTACTTTTTTTCTGCCTACAATTATATACGTTACAAATTAAACTAAGCAAAACTGACAAGGATTAAATGATGAAACATTTTCGCGAATTTTAACGTCATTCTGGGGTCTTTTTTTATGTCTAAATCCATGCTTTTGTTTTGCTCATGCTAAATCTTGGAAAAACATTGCATAAATTTTTTTAGCCATGTTGAATTCTTCAACTTTTTAACAAGAAAAATCTCAAGTTGATGTCACAAAGCATTGTTGATTTATTTAAGATGGAACGAGCTATTATGACATGTCTCTAACTTGTATTTAGATACATTGTATTTATTTTCAATTTTTCTAGTTGAATTGTTCATCTATATTGAATATGATCCATTATTGTACATAATTAGGTTACAATAAAAATTTGTATTTTATACGAATACAACCTAATGAAAATTGAGATGTAGTAGAGTTGGGAGTATAGAAGAGTATCATAGATTCAGTAGGGGGACATGAAACCCTTACACCGGCCCTGATTCCGTGAATTAGACACATTGTCATTCACATGTTAACTATGCATGCTTTTTTTTTTTTTTTTTTTTTTTTTTTCACTTGGGGCACACAGACAAAATTTAGCTGTACGTCAATTTATAAAAGATGAAAGATAAAAAAAAATGCAACTCGGGAGTAATTACACTATATAAAAAAAACATTATTTTCTTATCTATCAAATGTTAAAATTATTCAACTTTTTAACAAGAAAATCTCAAGTTGATGTTAAAAATTGTCACAAAACAATGTTGATTTATTTAAGGTGGAACAATCTATTATGACTTGTCTCTAATTTATATTTAGATACATTGTATTTATTTTCAATTTTTCTAATGCATATGATCCCTTATTGTACATAATTAAGTAATAATAAAATATCTATTTTATATGAATATTACCTTATGAAAATTGAGATGTAGTAAAACGGGAGCTCGTGCCATCGATTCGGTAACACGAGGCCCTTGCATCGGCCATGTACACACCTACACTTGGTGGTCTCTCCTCTGAAACAAACATTCTAATCAAAGATTATAGGCTGTTAACATCTTTCTGTATCTAGGCAACACCATATCAATGGATGGATCACTTGACACTGAATTCAGGTTTACGTGGCTTTTGGAAAGCTGGAATCAAGATTCATTTTTTACGGCTTATCAACAGTTTGCAGGTTATTTAAAGCCAGAAAATATTTTTAAATTGTAAGCGGTACAAGTTTTACGAATTAACCTATAGGCTAAGAGGTGGATTAGAAATTTTCCCAAGTTAATTCGCGCATAATTGAATATAACGAACCAAACTGGAATTAAAACTCGGCTCTTTGATTAACAGTTCCGAGCCCTTATCGATTACACAACCCACATTTTCAACCTTACGACACCTGGTAGTCCCAGGCGGTCACCCATCTAGGTACTGACTAGGCTCGACCTTGCTTAACTTCGGTGATCGTACGAGAACTACTGTTTCAACATGATATGGCCGTATGCCTGGGATGAAGAGTATGGTAGAAGAGAGATATAACTGTCATTACCAATAACAATGTTTACAATGCGTGTATAGGTACTTCTCTGTTTTGCTCTTCTGAGACCTGGACCACACATCGGAGACGAAGACCATCAGAAATATCTGAGAAGAATTCTCAACATATCAGTCAATGGCACCAGACACCAAAGTTCTAGAACTCTCTACCCCTAGAAGCAATGAATCTATATTTGTTTTGAATCAGATGAAATGGAATGGGCATATTGTTCTCATACAGGACTCACGATCTCAAATGCGCCTCTTTTTTCCTTTTACTTTTTTTTTAAGCATTTCACCCCAAGCAAGGTGGGAGTGCCACTAGCACGCAAGGGGTTACAGAGGATTGAGAACAAGAGTAAAGAGGCGTGTTTGGGGAGAGGATTAAGAGGAGGACGGGGAACAAGATCAAGTTATCAGAAGATGTCGATTGACATTGCACTTAGATATTTGAAGATTATAGTTATCAGGGAAGCAAGTAAGGGGAAAGGTATTCCACAGACGGGAAGTGCGAGAGAAGAAACTGTTTGAGTAGAAGAGACGGTTACATTTAACCATTTCGACAGTGAAAGGGTGCAACCAAGATGCCAACTTAGTAGCTCGCTTAAATTCATGCAGTCTGGGAAGCAGAGAAAGTAAGTCGTCGTAACAGTTGCCGTGAAAATACTTATAGAAGAGACAGAGGAAAGCCACGGCACGTCTGTGAGAAAGCGACTGTAGACTAGATGCCAGATCAGGATCTATTACATTGCATATCCGTCTTTGGATTTTGTCGAGGATTTCGAGACTTACAGCGGGGGCACCAGACCATATATGACAGCAATATTTTTTAGGGTAAAGATCAATGCTGGCAAACGCTCACAACACAAACCCAATAAGAAATTCAGGGTTTGTGTCAAGAGAAACATTATAGCTTTTTATATGAACGTGAGCAACTGGGAGGAGTTAGTATTCGACGAAGATGACTAGAGAAAATCCATTAAATGTCAGTATGAGCCGTGAGTCTAGCCACATTGAGAATGAAATGCTGAAGTGTGGTTTTAAAAAGGGGGACACATTTGAGCTTCTACTTAAATTTCATTTGTAAGCGTGTAATATTTGCAATTATGTCCTGAAATCGAAATCTAGTTAAATTAACCGCCTTAAATCACTGCCCTTACGCATAATATTGACGGCCTTCCTCAAGACCAGCTGAAAATATGTGTGATCCGTGGCAAAATTTGTAAATCCAGTCCAGGTCTGAAGAAACACATGAAGGATGATGCAACTCAATTTAATCCAATAAATTCTCTTATGATAATCCCCACAGCATACTTTAAGCCGTGTAAATCTTCCACGAGGCTAAAGAGCCACTTTAGAGTGCATGCTCGTTTACAAGTTGACAGTTAATTCGATGATGTACAATTAATGAGAAGGCATCCATTTATATAGATGCTGCATATATATATATATATATATATATATATATATATATACGCACGCACACACACACACATATATATATATATATATATATATATATAAAATAAATGAGAATGTCAGTGTGTCACTGTGTTACACTTTTTCAACGTAACGGGACACAACTCTCTAATTTTTAATAGCTCATGTTCAAATGAAAAAATTACTGTTCTCAAATTACAGTGTTTCAAAATAAAATTGTCCGTATTTTCAACTTTACTCCTAAAGGCTGTAGCCCAAAATCTCATATCATTTTGGAATCAGGCCGACTTCGTGAGCAAATTAAAAATATTCCTAGCTGGATCCGGGCCTGCGATCCTGAAATTTTGGAAAGTTTTCATTTCTGTAATTGTTTTCAGCGATTTTTTCCGTGATTTTCTTGCGACGAATTTCTTTCGTATGATAACAATTTTTATAACTTGGAAGTAAATCTGGGAATAATCGAAATTAATTGCGACATCCAGCGGAAGTCACCCATGAAATAAAAATAATTGTTTGTACGGAAAGTAAGAACCTACGTACATCAAATTCTCTTTAAATTAAGTGGCGACGAAAGAATTATCGTTGAACTTTTAAACGGTAAACTTAAATATAAAGGTAATACTTAAATGCAGCGATCAATTTTGAGTTCTTCTATGGTAATTTATTATTGCCTATCACAGCTACTCCTCCCTACCTATAGTGAGGAAGGCCCAATCAAGAGCACTTCGCAGGAGCTAACTTAATGCCGCCCGATATGGCAGCTTTTTAGCTAGTGTATATATATATTACACATGACATCGCGCTAGACCATTTCAAAAGCCCATCTTCGCAAAGAATACCAAAATGCAAAGCAATTCTAACTACTATACAGATACCACTTCGCTTCCTGATAATGACTGCGAAAGTCGAAAGTACCTGAACAAAAATAACAAAATCTGAACTTTGGGCAATTTACCCACAACTTTGAATACAATACTCAAGACCTTATACGAAACGGAAAAAAATATAATAAAAAAAATAGACAGATCTTGTCAGTCCTTTTTAATCAAACTTGTTTGAATTAATACTTGATGCCGAAATATACCGTATTTATATACAAGGTGTTTCTAAAGTCTGGACACATACGAAATCAGATTAACTATATTTTTTTTCCTCCACAGATTAAACATGGTTTTGTCGAAAGAAGATAGAACTAACTTCTTTTTCTGGGGTATGCTCAAGGAGAAAGTGTATTCAATGAAAATTACAGATGCAACACACTTTATTGAACGCATAAAGAGTGAATGTGCTAAAATTGATGGCAATGTGGAGCTATTGCATTAAGTGTTCACGTGAATCTTTCAAAGCGTATCACCCTTTGCATCATAAATGATGGAAATCATATTGAAGATGGTTTTTGTTAGTATAACAATTCATTAAAATGCTGAAAATAGAAAATCTCATTTCTTGAAAATATGCATTTTTGCTATGTGTCCAGACTTTAGGAACACGTGTGTGTGTGTGTGTGTGTGTGTGTGTGTGTGTGTGTGTGTGTGTGTGTGTGTGTGTGTGTTGACCACTAATATTATCAATATATATATATATTATGTGTAAAAACATATAGAAAATAGGAAAGAACTCGTTAGGTAAATAATCCAAAGTTCTTTAGTATTTTTGTTATTATTTTTAAAAAATAGTGCTCGATACAAAAGTAGAGCATAAATATAATTATTTATAAAAAAATTTATTAAAAAAATAAATACATCTCCATAGACACTTAACCAGACTAGACGATGTCATCTTCCGCTTTAAATTTAGACACCCCAACCTTACCCTGACTTGACGTCTTTGAATGTTACTGAGATATTGATACAAATTATTAACCCTTACGCCCCTTTTCTTTAAACAATTGTTCTAGCCGTTACCATAGTAATTTTAATTTCAATAATGAATATGCTAATAAAACGCGTAAATTTCAGGAATTAGTTATTCCAAAAAAAATTTCGCTTGAAGATGGAACAGAGCTTGGTACTTTAATTCAATTTAATTAAAAATAATTATATTGAAGTTTTCGGCTCTTGTTTTGAAACACAAGAACTCTTATGTAGCGTTGGAATCATATTTATATATATATATATATATATATATATCCAGGGGATTTTGTTGTTGTTTTGCCATCTTTGATCTTAGCTGGACAATTTACCCATCCCCCAACCATGCAGGTTTGGTTTGCTTGTCAAATTGAACTCGCCTGGTGGTATCTAGGGTATTTATCTTATTACAAGTCACTGGCTACTTGATGATTGTGTGAAAGCACATGAAACTAATAGTAGTGGACAGTCATTGCCGACCTGGTTATTTGAATATATATATATATATATATATATATATATATATATATATATATATATATATATATATATATATATAGGTGATATAGTAACGGCCCACAAAAGAGGCCCAGAAGCCAAACACTTAAGCAGTAAACAATAGTGCTCAACGCCTAGGGTTATCCAGACAGAGCAAAGAAACGCTTCTCAACGCGGCACACCTCGAATGGTTACTTAAGTTTCACGCACTTGTGATCTTCAGGTGACTAGAACGCTGATGCGGGTTCGCAAGAAACGTTAGGAGAAATAGGCAAGCCTACTTTGAACGCCGCTCGAGTTCGTTAGTTACGTTTACCAGCTGTGGGTTAAGTAGTAAGACTGAGACTGAGACTGAGCCTTCTAGCCTAGTTGGAAATCAGTCTCGCAAACGGAAAACTCAAAATTCAACTCAACTAGTTGCCAATCTAGTAGTACGCTTAAATTCATGTAGTCGGAGCACCCGAGAGAAAAAAGCTCTTTAGAGCAGTTGCTATTACTTATTTTTTTTTACTCTCAAACTGTGATCTAAATGCTAAGATGGTTACTACCGTCAAGGAAAAAATGGTTTTATTTTAATTAACAAGCAATGTAATTATAAAAGCATTCAATGACACGATCTCTGGTTTATAACCTATTTTATTTATAGACCAGATTATCACAGATATATTTTTAATTGATTTTTAGAGTTGAATATCCAAATTAGTTATCTCAAATAAGCAATAATCGCTAAGTCGGGCGAGATATAAGAAACATGCTAGTAGATATAAGTGATCAAACTGCATTTATTTGATATCACAGTTTACATTCAGTTGCTTTTTACTGAAACTACTCAGTCATTCTACAATATTTAAAAAAAAACAAAAGAAATTAAGATGAAATACGAATCAAAATGAATGATAATTATCCATCAGCTGTCTGATATATATATATATATATATATATATATATATATATACCTGGTGTAACACCTAAATAAAATTGTCCATACATTGTAACAGCAAAATTGTTCAATTGCTAGATTAAGCTTTGAACCATCTGTATCATAGAAATGATTAAAGATATCTTACTGGAATTCTCCAAGGTTTTTATAACACTATTGGACTCTACTTTGAGCAATAAGAATGTATAATTACTCTCTAAGCTTAGCAGAAGAATCATCATGAAATCGATCATAAACGA